CGACCTCGACGTGTCATACACTCGCTCCAGCGACGTGGGACGCACGATTCAGAGCGCCGAGGGCATTCTGCGCGGCCTGTTTCCCAACATGACGGCGTTCTTCCCTGCTGTGCACACCGTGGATGCTTCTGTTGACTGGCTCTTACAGAACGAAGTCATTCCTCATGCGCGGCTTTTCCGCCACATAGATAGGGAGTGGGAACTTGAGGTGTGCAACCCGAAGGTCGACACCATCATCGACTTCCCCACTCTGCAGGCCATTTCCAGGGAGGTCTACAGTGAGGGATACTGCGCTGACATGGAGAACCGGTGCAGATGCGTCCAGACGTTGTTCGACATTGGTAATGCTATGGCTGCCGACGGACGGATTGTGAACTTCCCATCACTGAGTGCGAACCTGGGGAATGTGAATTCTTTCATGGCGTTCTTTTTCAGCTTTCAGTATGGGTACAATGTGTCGAACGAGGTGCACCGGAAGATGGGAAGCGAGGGTCAGCCGCTGATGCAGCAAATGCTGGCAAATGCGCAGCTGCACATGCAGGGTAAGTCCGCTTACAAGCTTTACCACTACAGCGCCCACGACACAACACTCGGTCCGGTGGCTGCGACTCTTGGTGACTTGACGCCCCTCGGTATACTTCCGCCCTTCGCTCAGCTGTACGCATTCGAGCTGTTGTACGACGACGAGGCCAACGCCTACAGCATGCGGGTGATGCGCGGCAACCCCGGGCAGACGCCCGAGACGAACTACGAGTTTGCCTGGGATGACTTCACGCTGAAGTGCATGGACAGCAACGGCGCTGTCTACGAGGCTGCGAACAACACCTGCCCTTTCTATGACTTTCAGCGCTTCGTGGACTCCTCCAAGCCAACGGACCCCGCTGGGCTGTGCTACCTCGACGACCGGTACAAGAGCCTGCTCAAGTGCCCAGCGAAGGACGGGGAAGTTGACAGCAGCGAATGCCGGAACTACCGGGCACTGTGCCCTGCGTGGGCGTGCGACGCTGACTCTACGCTGGACCCGGTGACGCTGCAGTGCAAGTGCAGTGCTGCGTCGTGCATGGGTGTGGGTGGTGGAGGCAGCGGTGGCGCTTCCAACGCCGCCGACAACAGGGGACTGGCTGTGAGTGCGGGTGCGGCGGCTGGCATTGCAATTGCGACCTTCGCTGTTGGAGTGCTCCTGGGGTTGTTTGGTGTATTTGTTTGGGCGCGGTGTTCAAAGGAGAAGGATGCTGAATGCATAATTGAACTCATGTAGTTTGTTTGAGCGTTAGTTTGTTCGGCTCCAAAGTTCACTGTTGAGCAAGCCTGAAAACTGCTTTTGATCGCTTATATTTTGTGTAGTGTGAACTAAGTGTTTTTTTTTGCTGGTGTCAGACTGGTTGAGATTTTTGTAGTGCGAACTGTGAGATTTGTTTGGGTTTTGTGTATGTTATGCTCGATTGTGTAATTTCAACTTTGGTTTTGCGTTTTTTTTTAATGTGTTTTGGCTTCTATAGGACGACGCAGCGAGTCATTTTCTGCAATATATGTATCGCGTGGCGCCCGTTTTTCGGTTTAGATCGGTTGCTGTTTGGGGTGGCGGCACTATGGGGAGCGGCATTGTACAGGTAACCGCACATGCTGGAATTCCCGTTTTTGTTGTGGATGTCTCCCAGGAAAGGTTGGATTTTTGCAGGAGATCGATCGAGACATCTCTGACGCGTATAGGAAAAAAACAGTATCTTGGCGACAGTGACAGCATCAAGTCTTTTGTAGACGAAACAATATCGAGAGTTACATTTACGACCGATGAGCGATTGGCAGCTTCCAGCGCTGACCTTGTGATTGAAGCCATTGTTGAAAATATCGATGCAAAGAAGGCGCTTTGGGAGAAGGTGGATAGTATGGCGTCTAAGGAGTGCATTTTTTGCACCAATACCTCTTCTTTGAAGGTGAGTGATCAAGCCATCGCAACGGGTCGCCCCGATCGTTTTGCTGGATTCCATTTTTTTTCCCCCGTGCCGATGATGAAACTCGTGGAAGTGATTAGGAGTGGAAATACCTCGCAACAGACAGTGGAGCTTTTGCTTGACCATGCGCATAAACTTGGCAAGCAGGCCGTTTTGGCGATGGACACGAAAGGATTTATTGTGAATCGGCTGCTTATCCCTTATCAACTGGAAGCCTGCAGGATGGTGGAAAGAGGCGTGGCAAGTATTGAGGATGTCGATGTGGCGATGAAGCTTGGTTGTGGACATCCCATGGGCCCGTTCGCGTTGGCCGACAGCGTTGGAATTGATGTTTTGAAACATATCACGGACGCTTGGCATGAAAAAGAACCTGAAAACCCTTTGTTTTTCCCATCGGGACTTGTCGACGAGAAGGTGGCGCAAGGAAAACTTGGACGCAAGTCGGGCGAGGGTTTTTATAAGTACAGGGAATAGCGGTTAGGGCGCCCCTGGCCGGGCCATATTGCTGGGCGATGCCCGGTTTTTAAGCGAGCGATGGGGATGGTAGTGGGGTGGGGGTTTTGGGGGTGTGAAGTGGGCAATCCCGGGGGTACGCTGAGCCCGCGCAAAAAAAGAAAGGCAGGGGCGAAGAGGGTTTGAAGAGTGACCGGCGGCCTCTTTTTTTTTCGTTTTCTTTTCTTTAGAAAAGCGAAGGCGCCACATGGAGCGAG